TTTAATGCACAGTGTAAAAACCATCCCTGATCTCTGAACCTGTTCAGAACCAGCTGAGTCTGACAGCACCACTAATCTTTGGAGTGTTCACAAATTATTTTTCTCAGGAGATGGGCTGTGGGACTTCTTTTCTCAGGAGATGGGCTGTGGGACACCCCCACTTCTGTCTCCTAGAATCTGCTCAAACCCTCTTTGAGTCCTGAAGCCTTTTGGGGATAGTTTGAGTCAAACCCCATTGTCTCTGCAGGAAACTATTTGATTTTTGTCAGGAGATGGGCCGTGGGACTTCTCTCAGGAGATGGGCTGTGGGACACCCCCACTTCTGCCTCTTAGAATCTTCTCAAACCCCCCTGAGCCCTGAAGCTTCTTCAGAGTGGTCAAGTCAAACCCCATTGTCTCTGCAAGAAATTATTTGATTATTCTCACAAGATGGGCTGTGAGACACCCCCACTTCAGTCTCTTAAAATCTTCTCAAATCCCCTTGAGCCCTGAAGCTTTTTGGGGATGGTTGAGTCAAATCCCATTGTCTCTGCAGGAAATCATTTTACTTTTCTCAGGCTGTGGGACAGCCCCACTTCTGTCTCATAGAATCTGATCAAACCCTCTTGAGTATTGAAGCTTCTTGGGGGTGGTCAAGTCAAGCTTCATTGTCTGTGCAGGAAATTATTTGATTTTTCTCAGGAGATGGGCTGTGGGACTTCTTTTCTCAGGAGATGGGCTGTGGGACACCCCTACTTCTGTCTCTTAGATTCTTCTCAAACCCTCTTGAGTCTTGAAGCTTTTTGGGGATCGTTTGAGTCAAACCCCATTGTCTCTGCAGGAAACTATTTCATTTTTGTCAGGAGATGGGCTGTGGGACACCCCCACTTCTGTCTCTTAGAATCTGCTCAAACTCCCCTGAGCCCTGAAGCTTTTTGAGTATGGTTGAATCAAACTCAATTGTCTGTGCAGGAAATAATTTAATTTTTCTCAGGAGACGAGCTGTGGGACATCTTTTCTCAGGAGATGGGCTGTGGGACTTCTTCTCTCAGGAGATGGTCTGTGGGACACCCCTACTTCTGTCTCTTAGATTCTTCTCAAACCCTCTTGAGTCCTGAAGCTTTTTGGGGATAGTTTGAGTCAAACCCCATTTTCTCCGCAGGAAATAATTTTATTTTTCTCAGGAGATGGGCTGTGGGACTTCTTCTCTCAGGAGATGAGCTGTGGGACTTCTTCTTTCAGGAGATGGGCTGTGGGACATTTTTCCCAGGAGATGGGCTGTGGGACATCTTTTCCCAGGAGATGGGCTGTGAGACATCTTCTCTCAGGAGATGGGCTGTGAGACATCTTCTCTCAGGAGATGGGCTGTGGGACATTTTTCCCAGGAGATGGGCTGTGGGACACCCCCACTTCTGCCTCTCAGAATCTTCTCACCCCCTCTGAGCCCCGAAGCTTCAAACACCGTTGTCTCCGCAGGAAATTATTTGATCCTCGATGGCTACGGAGCCGTGCAGGAGAGCTCCACGGACGAGGAGGTGTCCGCCCTGGTCCTGCAGTGCACCTCCCACCAGCAGCCCGCCCTGGGCTGTCCCCAGCAGCAGCAGCAGCAGCCCCTGTCCCCCCGGGACGCGCGCTCAGACGGGGGCAGCTCGCCCTTCCCCGAGGAGCTGCGCTGGCCAGGGCTGGAGGAGCCCTGCCCCTTCCTGGGCAGCCCCCAGCTCCCGCTGCAGATCCGAGTGCAGCTCATGCAGTACATCCACAACATCGAGGATGCCCTGGAGAAGCTGAAGGTGCGTTGCTTTTTTGTTCTTTTTATTGGTGGTGGTATATTAGTTGGATGGTCGCCTGAGTGTGTGAGCATTTCCACGCCCGTTCAGGTTTTTTTGGGTTGGAAAAAAGCTTTAAAATAATTCTGATGGGCAAAAGCACAGCCACATTTCTCTCCATCTCTGGTTCTAACTCCTGGAAGACTTTACAGCAGAATCTTTGGCTTTTTTTGCTGTTTTGTGTGCATTGAGTTGTGGATCACGACAGGCCAGTAGTTATGCTGGAGCTAGAGGGCTCTTCATTGCTTTGATTTTGATCTGGAGAAATTTCTGAGGGGTGGGAAGCCTGCAGAAGTGGAGTTTTCAACAGGACACTTGGCCTGAGCAATGTGGATTCCTGGCATGAAAATTAGGGAAAAGTTCTCCACAGAGAGGTGGGATTCATGGCGTGAAGATTAGGGAGAAGTTCTCCAAAATGAGGTGGGATTCATGGCATGAAAATTAGGGAGAAGTTCTCCACAGACAGGTGGGATTGCTGGCATGAAAATTAGGGAAAAGTTCTCCACAGAGAGGTGGGATTCATGGCATGAAGATTAGGGAGAAGTTCTCCACAGACAGGTGGGATTCATGGCATGAAGATTAGGGAGAAGTTCTCCACAAATAGGTGGGATTCCTGGCATGAAAATTGGGGAGAAGTTCTCCAAAGACAGGTGGGAGTGTTGAATCCCCATCCCTGCAGGTATTCAAGGACACACTGGATGTGGCACTTGGTGACAGGGTGGTCTTAGGGCAGAGGTTGGACTCAAAGATCTCAAAGGTCTTTTCCAGCCGTGGTAATCCTGTGAAATCTCTCCTGTGCTGCTGCTCGTGGTGTCAGATGAAGACTCTGAGTTGCACCAATATTGAGGTTTTCAGGGTCTGTATTTTCCATATAATTTTTGCATGGGATGGGGATTCTCTTTATAGAGTAACTACAGAAGGTTTGATGTGTGAAACATCCAGTAGCCAGCCTTTAATTTCCCTGAAATCAGAATTTTGCATGCAAATGAAGCTGCTGATGAAGGAGTTGAGGGGGTTCACTCCAACCTGGCTGTTTGCAGCAGTGAAACTTCCCTTTTTCCTGATGGTAAATGCTTGGTAAATGGAGAGGCAGTTGAGTTTTGGGGCTGTTGTTGTTTTGCAGGAGGTTGAGGAGGATTACAGCGTTCTGCGGCGCCAGGGGCTGGCTGGCTCAGCCTCCACAGGAGAGCACTCAGGTAGGAGCCCCAGAATCAAACCCAGAGCACAAAGTCGAGTGTTTGGGACACCTGAAAACAGAGGCCAGACAGAATTAAGAGAATAAAAAGCACTTATATTCATTGAAGGGCCTTCAGGTACATTTAGAGCAGACAAAACCCACACAAAATGAAGATTGGGTCATGGGTTTCACACTTTTATAAGTTTGTTCCATTTGCATTTTGGGGGTTAATCTGCCAATTAGAGCTTCAGCTAATGAAGTCATTTGTCCCAAATTTGCTCCCCCGACTCACTTTTGTTTCCATCTCTCAGCCCTGAGGCAGTGAGGTGTCCTCGATTGCCAGGCCTGGAGAGGAATTGTTGTGTCTGCCCAAATGGGGAAGCAGCAGCTCACACTGTGTGTGGAGTTTGGAGTTACACACTAAAGAATTGTTACAAATAGATGAAAAATATAAAATCCTGAGGTACCAGAGCTCCAACTGGCCTTTCTCACATGCCCAGAAAGGTTTCACCTCCCTGAGCAGCTCTGGCAGTGCTGCCTGCAGGAAAGGTCAGCTCATCCTGGAGGCTCAGCTGAGCTCGTTCCTCCTGCTCTGGCAAGTTCTGTTCCAGCTGCCCCACGCCTCCATCCCAGGCTGCAGCTTCTCCTCCAGGCAGGCCAGAGTGGTGGGAGCTTCCTGAAATTCCCTGGGGCCCTCCAGGAGGAATTGCTGAGCTCCTGAGCCAGGTTTGAGGGTGAGATGGGTGTGAGGCTGCCACTGAGCACAACTCTGCCCCTGGGACTGTCAGAGGTGCCACACACTCACCTCCTGCCACAAAATAACTCACACATTCCCTTAAGATACAAAAGAGGGGAAAGAGGAAGCTTTATTTCTGACCTCACAATATATAGATTTCTAAAAGTGACAGTGGATTGGAGGATGGAATTTCCACCTCTCCAACCACACTGGTCAAACCAACAGCCCATCAATTCTCTCCTCCCACAAAGAAGAATGCAAAACAATAATTAATTATTTACATGAACACTGGTGAGAACTCCACTAGAAACATGTAAACATCAGAAGGCACCGAAAACTTTTAGAACTTTACAACTTTTGAAAGAACAGGGCGCCAATCTCCCAGCACATCCCTGTCCCTCACCACCTTTTTCCCTTTTTTTTTCCCCCCTTTTCAGACAAAAGCTAGTCGTGTTTCCAGGAGTGGCTGAGGACTGGATGAAGAGAATCAGGACACAGCACCCGCTGTCTCCCCTGTGGACTCTGGGATGAGGGTTTGGAGCATCCAAACAGGAACCATTCTCTAGCAAAGTGGGCATGGGGTGCTTTTCCTGTGGGGCATCTGCACTATCTTGTCAGTGAGGGAGTCTATTCTATTCTGCTCCTCTCCTTGCTACCAGAAATTCAATTTTTTTTTTTTCAGAACAGAAAAAAAAAAAGCCAAACCAAATGTACAGAGCTTTGGGTGTAGGATATAAAAAAATTGTATTTAGACATTTAAAAGAAAAAAAAAATCAATGTATTTATTTGACTTCATTCCGTGTATCAAAAGCACATTTTAATTTTTTTAATCTGCCTTTTTTTGTTGTTCTATTTTTGGGTAGTGACAGTTCTGGCCCCCTGCATGTGGCCCACCCTGCCTGGTGAGGGGACAGGGGGGGACCTGTGTGCAGGTGTTTCCTCACTGGACTGGACTCTGCACTCCCTGCTGGCACTCAGACTACCAGGAGCTACTCATGAAGGTGTTAGGATGGAATTTATGGCTGGAATTTGTCTGTATCCAACCAACTGCATGGGAATTGCTCATGTCACCACGTGTGGAGCAGGAATTTTCCATGCACTAAACAGCCAGGCACTTGAGATGGGCAAATTTTCCTTCTCCCCTTTCCCATTCCTCTGCTGGGAGAGGAGAAAGAGGTTTCATTTTGGTTTTTTTTTTCCTTGACTTTGTTGGCTTTGATCATTGTCTCCTTTGTAAAGTGATAAAAAAATTTACTTGGACCTGCAGCACTTTTGTAACTCTTCTCTGGATC